AAAAAAAAGAAAAAGGAAAAGAAAAAGCAAAACGTAAGTGTTACACAACAACTGTTTAGTTTTCAAGATTAACAGATAGACACATACACACGCAAAAAAAGAGAATGTTTATTCATGTATAAATATTGGCAAAATTATTTTAAACAAACATACGACGGCCACCACCACGACCAAGTAACTAAAATAAATTTTTGTTGCAATATAGAAAATCAACTTTGCTTCTCTCTCTCTCATTTTCTTACTTTTCGACCTGTGCCCAATCTAAATATACATAAAATATAATATTATAATCATGTATTGTTTTGTTTTGTCTCTTACCTTTTTCGGATACCACCACCGCCGGCACCATTATTCATTCGATTTCGTGTTATGATATTTCTCTGGAAAAAAAAGACAATAGAACTTTTTTCTTTGTTTTATTCCTAAAATTAGATATTTACAAGTTTTTGTGGTTGTTGAAGAATTCTTTGTCGTTGTTGTCGTATTCTTGGAACTTGAGCAAGTGTTTTTGTTGCACGACTCAATGCTCGTTGTGCAGCAACCATACGTCGTTGAAGAGCTGTAACGTTTCTCGTCGGATTCGGTCGAACTTTGTTAAAGATACTACCTATTGAATATTAATTTTATTTGATTTAATTAAAAGAAGAAAAATATTGTATTGTATATTGACCTTGTTGTCGTCGAGGAGCTGTTTGAATTCGAGGTGGTAGTTGTTGTTGTTGTTTCGGCGCTGATGAATTGTTATCACGGCTCAATGGATTGTACTGAATGGAATAAACGAGAAACCAATCAAGACGAAGTTCAATGCTGCCGTCCTCTATCCACATATATTTTCTAGTTGTTACACACAATATTTCATTATCATAGTACCACTCGTATACAGGGAACCGTCGCAAGTGATATATATATATATCATTGTAAATGAAATATATAGATATTTGTTGGATTAACTCGAGTATATATATATATATGTATATTAAATAAGATTAAAAAGAAAGGATCGGATGTTAGACGGCAGCTTTTTAAAGCATATAATAGTTGTTGATTAAATGATTTACCGTTGCAGTAGGTTTATCAGAGCCTATATTTCGGCGATTAAAACCTGGAATTGAATTTGCTCGACCTCGTTGTTGACGGAAACTAAAAGAAATTAAATTCGTTTAGTGATTTTGTTTTAGGTATGTTAGTCATGTTTTTCCCATACTTGTTCGAACGATTATTATTTCGTTGATTAAAAGTATTTCGTCCTCCGCCACGACGAAAATTACTAGCACCTCGGCCACGGTTGCTATTATTGTTATTGAAATTGTTTTTGCCAATACGACCACCACGATTTCCTCGTGGATTATTTCCACCTCGACGTTGAATTCCACCTCCTCCGCGTCCTCCTCGGCCACGACGATTTCCTCGTCCACCTTTTTTGATGATATCGTCTAAATAAATAAAAGAAAGAATTTAATTTGATTTATAATTCCTAAATGAACTATTTTACCTAAAGCCATATCAATTTTTGCATCGGCCATTGTTTTATTTATTTTTTTTGTTGATAAATTAAAATAAATGTATGTGCAATAATCTTGTAAATAGAAGAGAATCAGTTGAATATGTGTGTTGTCAAGGTTATTTTTTTATATAGTCGAATAACACAATAATAAGAGTGGGAGAGAAAAATAGGTGAAAAAAAAACAAACTTTGTCGACGAGACAAATCAGTATTTGATGAAAGGAGACATGAATGAATCGACTAACTGATAGCGTGTTCTGATCTTTGTTGAGGTCGTAAGTAGCATATGCAACCAATCAGAATAAACTGGGAAAAATTAAAAAATTAAAAATTATCAAGTATATTATATTATAACATGAAAAGTATTTATTAACATAATTTATATCTATTTGTATAGTTGAATAAATAAAATAATATCACTATGCGCCATCTATTGAATTTATGTCTGTATATCAAGGATGATTGTTTTTTGAGCATCTGTGAGAATAATGTTTATGAGTATTATCTACCGGCAATGAAAATATAAGGAAGCTGTTCAAACTAATTTCAGATAATATATTTTGTTATTTTATACAGTACGAGGTTTGATTTTCAAGTATAAGATATGCTTTAAATATTTGAAAAATCTATTGTTATTGCCTAATTAAAGATTATTAAACTAGGTAACAGATGATGATATAGTATTAATTGATTATAAAAAATATAATCTACATGTAATATTTAATTAATAATAAAATATTTCTATAATGAATTAGTATCAACTTAATTTTCAATCTTGTTTTGACATAATTTGAAATTTGGATCTTAACATAGTTATACTGCGATATAAATCGATCTCGTAGAGAATAGAAAAGTTTATTATATCAATTGTTTGTTTATTCCTGAATAGTGTAGAGTCCTCTGTTGACTCAGACGTTTATTGACTAGTATATGAATCAAGTTTGTTTTTGCACTGTCAGTTATGACGTATGACTCATCGAACTTATGCATCGTCACGTAGTAACAAGCATGAACGTATATGTTTAAAAGAATATTACCTATAAATACAGTTCATTTTTCTACATTTATCAATAATTATAATCGAATAATGACACGCTATGTTGAAAAGAAAGTTCTTAGTGTTGAACAAAGTGAAGGTGTAGGTGCACGAGTACGACGATCACTTGGAACTTCACAGGTATATAAATTCATTTATCAAAATCAAATATTTATGAATAATTTTCTAGGTACGAAATTTCGATCCATTTTTAATGCTTGATGAATTTCGACTTTCGGCACCTGCTGGTTTTCCTGATCATCCACATCGTGGCTTTGAAACTGTAACTTATATGATAAAAGGATCTACGGAACATGAAGATTTTACTGGACGACGAGGTGTTATCAATCCAGGTGATCTTCAATGGATGACAGCTGGTCGTGGTATTCTCCATAGTGAAATGCCAGGAGAAAATTGTGGTGAATGTCATGGTCTTCAATTATGGGTTAATTTAAGTAAAAAATATAAAATGGTTGAACCTAATTATCAAGAATTACTCGATAAAGATATTCCACGTACAGCAACACCTGATGGTTTAGTACAAGTAAAAATTATGTATGTATACTTCTATTGAACCATACTTCAATAATTATGTTTCTTTCTAATACAGTGCTGGCGAATCTATGTCAGTGAAATCTCCTGTTTATACTCGTACACCAACAATGTATCTTGATTTCACCCTCAAACCAAATTCACCAGTATTCACTCAAGAAATACCAAAAGGATGGAATGCTTTTATATATATTCTTAATGGACAAGCTGAATTTGGTTCAAAGAAAACAGAAGCTGATGCACATCATGTTCTTATTTTATCACAAAATGGTGATGGAATAGATTTTCGTAATACAGGTAATAACAGTGATTGTCGATTTGTTCTTATTGCTGGACAACCATTGAATGAACCTGTTGTTCAACATGGTCCATTTGTTATGAACACACAGGAAGGTAATTATACAATTTGTTTTAATTTTAAAGAAAATATATCTACGTTCATCTAATATTTTTAGAAATTCGACAAACTATGAAAGATTTTCAATTATGTCAAAATGGTTTCGAAAATGCACGTGACTGGCAAAGTAAAGGCATTGAACGAAGTATGGTTCGACATTAAACATTATTTTTTCTTTTTATTTATTTGTAAGCTTGCATCTCTGTTAACTTATTTTTTTAATATAAAATCATTTCGTTATTATTATTATTATTAAATAAATATAAAACAGTTCATAGTATATAGTATTGAAACTCTCATTAAACTAATATCTAACTTAATTCATACTTCGATTATAACATTTCCGTGAACAAGACGAATGTGAATGAAATTATTTGTATGAGTTTTAAGAAAATTAGAATTTTTCTTATTTCGAATTCCCGCCATAATAATTACATTTCGATTATTATTTTTTCCCCATTTCAAAATTATTGATTTAATCTTTAAACAAGAAAAAATCATTGAATGGGACGAAAATCTAATGTTAAAGATCATATTATTTCGCCTCCAGAAACAAATGGTACTGATACTAACGGTCTATATGAAAAACGTCTTCGTTCATGGAAACGAAAACCAACTTCTTCGAAACGCAATCAGATACCTGTTTCATCTGTAGTTGATACTGACGAAGTCTTACCTCTTGCTAAATCAACTATTTATACTTATCCAATCAATATCAATAATGATCATCGACAACGTATTTTATCCAATACAATCATGTCCGATAGTTTAACTACTGATAGTGCTTTCTATTGTTCATCGATATCAAATTCTTCTATTCAAACAACTGCTGATTTAAATAATAATCATGTGACAACATTAAATGTAGACAATAGAAAAAGAAAAAATTCTGCAATACTATATGAAAACCTTTCCAGTCAGTTTTCACAAATGAATAGATCAGAGATATTATCCAATCCGAACGATGAAAATAGTATTATTGAACAGCAATCATCAACTACAAATCGACATTTAACATGTATATTTATATTTCAAATATTTTCGTTTGTCAAAACAAATTATTCAATATTTTTAGATCATCAAAATCCAATAAAACGATCACGTTTATCTACTGATGATTCTATTATTAATAGTGATATTATTGATATTAATCAATTAGATCAACAAGAATCTTTATCATTATCTATAAATAATTCTAATTCAATGGAAACAGCTGTTAAAATGGTTCAACCAATTGTTGATATCATATTTCATGCATTTGAAGATCAACTTAAAAATGCGCAAATAAAAACGAATCAAACATTTCCTTCAAATTCTTCATTAACAAATGTTTCACCGAAACAATTACATCCTTCTAAAATATATCCGTACTTTCCTTTAACATCTCCTACTCATCCAATAGTATTACATGCAGTTAATTTCAATATACAATTAACAACAAAAGAACCAACAGTAGTTTCTAGCGAACAATATTTAATAAATACTACATCAAATGAAAATGATTCTCTACAAACAATCTTCTTGACTGAACTTAAACGAAAAGTAGCATCGTGTATTCTATCAAATAGCTATGAAACAAATGATAATCATCAGGGACAACGACGTAAACTAAAACGTATTGCTCAGTTAGCTGTATTAGGTGTTAGTGTATTATGTGGCTATTTACTTTTGTAATACATTGAATGAAACATAAATTGATTAGATTGTTTGATTATTATTTGTACAGATTTTACAAGTCCAGTTTCTTATAATCCTCTAATGCGAATGTCATTATTGCTTGCTTTTAATACGATATTTCCAATTATCAATAAAGATTTTTCTTTTCTATGATTTATTCTCATGAGATGTATTTTTTTTTACTTAAACAAATACAATCATACAAGACACACTGTTCGTCGAACAACAAAAAAGAAATGATAGCAACCATTGAAATCATATCAATATATATATCATTTATATAAAAGCAGCAAAACACAAATGACTAAAACCATGATGCATTAATAGTTGTTGTTGTTCGATTAAAAGAATGTTTTGGTTTTACACATTAGTAAAATAAATGGTAGAAATGATCGTGTCCATAATGTATAGAGTATTGTACGAATATGTGTTGTATGAAATACAAGACGGATTGATAGACAGTGAAGATTTCGATTAAAATCGGTATCCTAAAGAGAAAAAAAACATAATAGATTATTATAAACAGATAAAAAGTAATTCACACTTACTTGACAATATTTTTTATCAACTTGATCGGCAACGAGTCGAAGAGAATGTGCAATTTCTTTACATGTTAATGTTAATTCATGATTAGAATTTGTTAAATTCTCTTGTCGATTATAACAATCATTAACAATATCTGGTAAATTAGATGTTGAATTATGTACAAAATATGAAGAATGATGTTTTTGATTAGTATCAATTGTCGTTGTTGTTTTAGAACGACGACAATAACGTTTTGGTGTTTGAGAATTTGTAATAAAAGTATAAGGAAGCATAATTGTATTAACCATCGGTATGATAGCGGCCTCACACGTGTAGATGGTGCAATGTATCGAAATAGAAATGTGTCGCCCGTGAACAGTAAGGAAAAGGAAAAGTGTCCGATAAGCAATCGTGTTCTTGATAGAATGACTGATTGAGGGTCACTACTCTCTAATTTATGTTTGTCGACGACGAGAGAAACAATCTATAATTGTGTTCTCTTTTCCTTTCTCTCTCTCATTCTGTTCTCTTAAATATAATCGGATATTGAACATATATACAAGTACGAGAGAGAGGTCGCCTCTCTTCTCCAGCTACATGTACCACTCGCTTTTCGTTTCTTTCCTTCCTGCCCTTAAGGTCAATTTTTCCTTCGCATGCGTTGTCCAGCAACAGAAAAGTTACTTTAATAATACCTTTTCTTTCCTTCTCCTCCCATTTCCTTATAATTATTCTTGGCGCCAATTCAACTTGACCGCTACTTACTCCCTCTCTTTCTCTCTCTCCTTTTACTAGACTGATGTCGCCTCCTGCCTATGAATACATGCGTCTTTTCTCTCTCCCTCTCTTGGAGAGAATAAGTCTCATTCATCATGGGTGACTAAGGATTGGTAAATGAACAAAGCCAATAAATCAGTCTGATTAGTTTCATTTTCTGTTACCATAGACACTTAATCTTTTTCAAAAGCTTTTCGTTAATATTTTTATCCGATATTTTCTCCTTATTTGATCTTTTGAGTATCATTCGATGTTGTCATCATATTCCCATACTTATTATTGCTTCTTTCCGTAACATAAAACAATCAACATATACACATATGTGTGAATATCATGAGTGTTTATTTCCATTCATCACCTTCTCAATCTTTTCTTGTTCATGTCACATACTAGTGTGTACACTTATGTTTCTTATTGTAATCATAAGTGGCATGACGAAACAATACTCTTACATCATCATTATTTAGGTATGATGAATAGAATCATTCAGTCAACAATTGATTCATATATGAAATATAATCATTGAATAGAAACAAGTAATCCCTTTAGTATTTATCTAAGTGAAACAAAACATTTAGTTGTGTTATCTGAGAATGATGAATATGAGATAATTGAGTGCTAAGTAGCCATAGATAGAGAGTGTCAAGGGAGGAGCATATGTTGATGAAGTACATAAAATAGAATGGAATTTTAATCAAGAGTCTATCGATCAATAATGATGGTACTAAAAAAAATGTTCCATTAAATGACGAGAGAGAAAAAAAAAGAAGTAACATTAAATATGTTTGATCTATCGTTAATGTTTATACATCAGGTTACTATTTTTGATAGAATCATGCTGTGTTAAAAAGCAATCTGATGTGCTCCTATCCAATATCAAAGTAATGTTTGATTAACTTATTTATACCGATCATCTAAACAGTAGTTGATGATTGCCCTACTTTCTTTTTTTTTGTCAAAAACAATTGAATTTTCTTATGTTGATTTTATCTCTTTCTATCAAAGAACATATATATATATATGCAGGTGCAAACAATGAATAAAATCATTCAAGTGATGACACGTGTCTGTGACACTTATTGTTCTCATCATCATCATTTTTCTAGTTTAATTGTTTTGGCATTAAAATATAAACGAGAGAAAAGTAAATATATATTGAATGAATATATGATCGATGGTGATTTTTTCCTGTAGAAAAATTGAATTAATTATCAGATGAGTTGCAAAAGGATTAACTGTATATATATATACATATATACCTTCTATATGTTAATTCACACGAATATGTTAGACACGAGAAAGAGTAATCGATCATATATTGATAGGCGGAGTAATTGTTTTATATGAATGAGAAATGTATTCAATTTTTAAATTGAATAGTATCTTCCTGTTGTTGTTTTTTTTCTCCTCCAAAGAACTGTATCTTTATCCATGATATATCGTTTAGTGAGTGAATGAATAACAATACGGTACACGTGCGCATGAATGATTATGAATGGATTGTACAGTGCAGAACAATGAGGTATTCATCGAAAAGACTCTCACCTGCTCTCTATCTTTGTCTTTGTTCTTTTCTTCTTCTAAAAGAGATCAATTCAGACAAATGATTTTGTACATCGAATAGAATCCATTCATTAGAATATAGTGTCTCAATTGACCGTATTTTGTATTTTTGATGTTCTACCGCATTCATTTTATATACCTGTCATTGTTTGCAAACTGCCACGCGCCCTACTTCTTTTTTTTATTTTATTGTATCTATAATTTCAAAGAGATGCCGATTAGATGATGACTAGACATACTATCCAGTAGGGAGTGATAGAAGCTGTACATATACATTAGCAAACATAAAAAAATGAATGTGTAATTTAAAATTGAAGTAAAGAAATGAGGTGGAGTGAGCAAATCGATGTTAAAATAAATAATAGTCATATTAGTCTATCGATAATGTTTTAATAGAAATTAATCTAATTGTCTTTTGGCGTCAGTTATTTGAATCTGCATGATATTGGCGTCGACTGCAGGTGTTTATATATAATAGCGACGAATATCTTCTTCCCTATTATCATCATCTATATCTTTCTTTTTGTTGTAAACAGCATGTCATAGGCGTCGTTTCGTCTGCATGAAATAAGCCACATGCACGTATACAATATGTTTACAAGTATATCGGAACTATGGATAAACAGACAAGATGATATTTTTCATTTCTTCCTATTCTAATAATGATCGTATATAATGATAATGATTTAGAGAAACAAAATTCATATTTCCGTTCTTTATCGTCAATTGAGAAAGGCAAGAGGAGGATAATTTAACTTAAGTATATATATATTCATATCGATGTATTTCTTTCGATACTGATCAATCGAAAGAAGAAGAGTCGGCAGTATCAAAAAAGAAAATACATGAATGAATATGATGTTGACTCTACTACTAGAAGCATTAGAAAAGTAACACTTAATTGTTAAGTAGAGGAGAAATCAAAGGAAAAGAAAAAAGTACAGCTGTCAGGTATATCAAGCACGCGTCGTTTATCACTAGATAGGTGTCAGATTAAGCTTAACATATCAATATCCGACTATATGGTATATGATTTCCAAAAGAAAAAAAAAAAGAATTCATCAGTATACTTCCGCTTTATTTTGGCTCATGGGATTAATTGATGATGATCAGACAGATCAACCAGGCGAGGTGTCAAATGCAATGAAGTTATTATTACCGATCAAAGAAATAGTGTACTTCCTCTATTGGGAATTGATGTTGTTTGCTTCTCCTCCTTTTCTTACACCTCTTTTTCGCTTCTCTTTAATTGTTATCCATCAATGCATACTTTGATTTTCTTTTTATCGGAAAAAAAGAAAATTATTTCGCTGTCTCTTTTCGTACCAATGATTTTCGTATGCGAGTACATGTGCCGCACTGCCGATAAGGAGATTATTGATATTATGTTTTGTCATTTGATAAGAAGTACCGATGCGGAAGTAACATCAAAGACAAATAAATATTTATTACAAGGCTAAATTTATGCAAAGAAATTAAATTCTTGTCAAATTACAAAATATTTCTTGAATTAAAGCAATTTTTTTATTTAAAAAAAAAGAAAATAGGTTTCATTCAAGCACCAATTATAAAAATAGTTAAATATCAAGAATCAACACGAGACAAAGGTGGTACGACTGTAGCTACTGAACTACATCGTGAACGATATTGTGGTGGTGCATTGAGAACAGACATTTCAATGCCAAAATCAGTTGGATGTGCAGCAACAAAATTATACGGTGGTGGTGTTATATCTTTTGGTCGCGGATTTTTACTGATTGTTTCATAGTCAGGTAGGTCATCATTATTTATATGATAAACAGGAGCAGCAAGAATTGACGCAGTATTTGGTGGTGATGATGTAACTATTTTTTATTAAAATATTCAATTTAATATAAAGTTTGAATTGAATAAATAAACACGTACCTCGAGTGCGATTTCCACAAGGACATTTACATCTGCATAAACATTGTTTACATAATGGTCGAAAATATATCAAACAAACTGCAAAAAGACATACACCAGTAACAACAAAAATAGGTATCACCCTATAAAAATAAAACAAAGATTCTTTTCTTTAAAATTCAATCAAATGATTTGCTAATCTTACAATGTACTCCATGATGTAGTAGAACAACAAGCGGTGTCTGGTGAAAGACTGATTCCAGTACAACAACTATCACTACAACTGAACAAGAAAAATAATATATATATATACTGCTAATATTATAAAAAATAAAACTAACGTGATAAAACCAAACGATGATGAATTATTCCAATTACATAGTTGATACGCTTGAGTCTATTTTCAATAAAAAATAAATTGAATAAAAAACAAAATTTTGAACGAAGCAATTTTTACTAGAAAAAATTGGTGGATTAATAAAAAGAATAGAGAAAAACCAAGTTTTTTCATCACAGTTAACATGATTGAGATTTTATATACATATGAGAATGTTCTTTTAAAGGTATTTATTTTGTTTTTTTAATTATAAAGGAAAAAAGACAGAAATCATTTTTTTTCTCTTTTACCATGCTTACATTTTTTCATGTACTTTTACAAGAAAAAAAAATATATGCCGGCATTTGAGTTCTTTCTATTGCCCTCAATATTAAAGTTTTTTTTTCTTCTTACAGTGAATTTTGTTTTTTAAATAAACGTAGAATATAAACAAGACGTCATCGAGCAATTTCTTCCATTATAATTTCTGTTCTACAGCAGGAGAAACCCATGTTTTTTAAGATAGTTGTTAATAGAATATTTGTAAAATTGAGATGCAAAATATTCTAATCGAGCTGCTTACTTACATTGTAAATAACAAAAATATTGTTGTCTGACGTAGTATGTGCCTGAGAGAAAGAGTTACTCAGACATTTATTACGACTTATAATGAATTGTTGCAAGGAATATTTTGTGACGTTTCTATAGTTACATCTGTTCCAGTTTATGACCCCAGATTTCTATCCCTATACATTGTAGCACCACATGTCGATCATGTCTTTCAAAAAAGGTCTGGAAAACTACAACAGACATTATAACGGAAATGAACCGATGAACTGTGATCATCAAAAAAAAAGGTTTTAGTTGAAACGTGATAAAATGGATATTGAAGATATTCGACAGTATAAACCCATCGATGGATTCTAGTGAAGATAAAAATATTTGTATTCTATCTGCATGATTGGCTTGTTTTTTTAATGACGTAATATTGTATAAAGGTTTCGCTGACAAAATAAATGCATTAGAAATAACATCTGATATTCAAATCCTCAAAATCAGGTTAATCTGTATTTTAAATGAAACTAACTCTGATCTAATTCAAAACTGTCATGCATATCTAAACACTTGTCGGAAATCATTTTCCCTTTTTTTGAAGCTAGTTATAATAATTGTGTTGACACAATCCACTGATGAGTCATAATATTTTACATCAGTTAACAAAATTGAAATAATGTTGACAAAATATAGTCAATAATCAATCAAACAGTTAGAAATAGAGCATTACCTCTTATACAAACAATTTTATGTTCAATCCAATTTTTGCAAAAAAAAATTATAAAATTTTATTTTTTATTGAGTATTAATTTACAAGATTCATACAAAAGTATGAGACATTTCTAAATTATAAAATAGTATAGTAAAAGACTTAACTACGTATTCTAGTCGAAATTAAAACTTTCTATTTAGAAAAGCTATTTTTATTTTTATGATATATATATATGTAAAACCAAATAATGATTAATATGTAAATGTTCTTATGTATTATTAAATCATGTATACAATATATTGCCATATTTCAAAATAATTATGAATTTATAGTTTTTCGAACTTCGTTGAATCCGTATGATTTAAATCGTGAATTGATGGAGTAATTGTCGTTTCATTTTTATCTTGTGATTGCGAAGTAATATTATTATTATCTTTTTTTGTTTCAGAAATCACGTTATATTGCGGCGGTGATTCTTCGTTAGTAGTTAAATTCTGTAGAGAATTATAAGGAATTATAGATACATTATTATTATATTGATCGATAGATGCTAACAAAAAAAAAATAAAAGAGAATATTAAATTCTTTTCTTTTATATATCCAATATATTTCCTTACCTGTATCTTGTGCATTTCGTTTTTTTCTATATCGATAAATACAGAATGTAGTTAAACATAATATAACAACAAATACAATTGGAATAATAATTACCAATGGTCTAAAATATTAAATGAATTTTTTATTGTTAGTATTATTTAATAAAGATATATATATATATTTATTAATCTTACATTAATATTTTTGCTTCGTCATTGAATGATGGATGTCTTAAAGGTGATCGATCATTACTATCAAATGGTAGTTGATGATTAGAATCATGTTCATCAGATTCAGAAGACATATTCTTTCTTTTTAAATTTGAAAATACATCGTGAAAAATTTCTTGGCTTTTATATGCGAGATTATGCATAGTTGTACTTTACTCGGATAAGATGTGTTCCTTTAAAGTGTGATGAGGTCGTATGAATAGATTGTAAGAAAAAATTATACTTAACTACCTTATATTTTTATGTCCCTCTCTCTCTCTCTCTCTCTCTCTCTTTCTATTTCGTATTATGTTTTTTTTCTTTTTCTATGTGGAATAGTCATGAATATATATGTATACAAAACATCCACTATTCGTTTAATAAAACAATGATAGTATTTCTTTACATTTTTAAATAGAAGAAAATTTAATTATTTCGTTTACTGGAAAAATAATATTAAAAGGTTAATTATTTTCGCCTTGATAACTTGTTATTTAAATCAGATAATTAATTACAAATATAACTGAAATGTACTTTTAACAGTTCCTATAATAATTTATCAAAATAGTATTTAGTTGTGAGTAAATATAAAAAAAGGTAGAACTCATAGAGAATGTAAATAAATCTAAAGTACATTTATGATTTTTTTCGTTCTATAGAACGAAAGGACCTATTGACAAAAATAGGATGTAGGATGGCACAATATGCTTTTGATGAAGTATAAAAACAAAAAAGGACATTATAATTTGAATAAACTACTTCTTTTTTTTCTTCTATGTATATTGATTGTTACACACCCTACAATTAAATGGATGAAATATTGATTCAATTGTAACATTTATTTGAAAATGATGAAATATATCATTGATTAACATTATTTTTGATTAAACTTATGAAAAAATATTAACAAATTCGTTGATTACAAGAAATTCTCAAGAGACATAATAACATCGATGAATACAATGGAAGAATGAACATTATATTCTTAATATATCATTGAATCTCATTCGATTGTCTAAAACTATAACAAAGTCATAGTATCAAAATATAATAAAAAAATATCTATATCGAACATAGAAAGTTAAAATTATTTTCAGTCCTTTGTCAGTCAAGAATTTCCGTTGCCATCTAACTACTTCGGTAGATAAAAGAATTTTTTTATTCATTTGTTTAAAAATCATGAGATTCTATTTATGATCAAAGAAATTTAATGATATAATTACTAAAACGAGTTTTCTTTGTTGATTGTAACCTACAAAAAAGAAAAAAGATGAATATACTTATGAATCGTTAGTCATTAGTAGTTGTTTATTTTATTACAAAGACAAAAGTAATTCAGACAGAATTCTTATTTTTTTATGCGTACTTTGTTGAGAAGTATTTCAAATTAATTTCTTAGTTGAACAAGTATAATTTCTGATCTCATAAGTTCTTTTCTTTTTATAATATCATGCTCAAAACATTGTCAAGAATCTGTTCTCTTCTCTGGAGCTCTTTCTTTTCTTCTTTTTTTTGTCTATCAGTTCATTAATCATTCTATAGTATGTTCTTTTTCTTGTCTATCTAAATTGTTAGTACACATTGGTTTTTCTTATGTCAATTAAAAAAAGAAAACAAAATGACCTTGGCTTATATACTTTCTTCTTTCTGTATCTAATGCTAAAGATAGTACTAAATAATTGTCTTTAATTAAGAATTTATTGTTCGTAATAATTTTTCAGCAATGTTTGCTGTTTATGTTACTCGAGAAAAAAAAGAATCTTTAAATAAAACATCAAATATCATTCGATGATAATTATTTTTCAGTAAGTAATTATTATTTTTTCTTGTTTAGAAAAATAATCCAAAATTAATTTTTCTATAAATATTCTAGTTCGTTATAGCAACAATGTTTATTTTTGTTATAAATCTGCTTAGAGAAAATGACTGAAGTCATTAAGTCTATTCCATAGTACATAAGAATAAGAAAAATCGTCCCTTTTTACCTTTAAGTAAAGGATCGTACGTCATATAAGATAGTCTTGTTATTTTATTTGTACTTCGAAATACTAAACATAAATTCTCGACTATCCTATATATACAG